CACTCATACGATATTTCCTCCTTATTATCGTTTTACAGATGTTTGTTGAGGAAGTTATGGAACTTGTGGAGCTTACACCATTAAGATCAGCCTTAGTTGGTTTGACAGGAGTCGATGGTCTCTCAACTGAGCAACGGAAAAGGTTGACCATTGCAGTGGAACTAGTGGCAAACCCCTTATCATTTTCATGGATGAACCAACTTCGGGGGCTAGATGCAAGGGCTGCTGCAATTGTTATGAGAACTGTTAGGAACACTGTTGACACAGGAAGAACCGTTGTTTGTACCATCCATCAGCCTAGTATCGACATTTTTGAAGCCTTTGATGAGGTGAAGTTAATACCCCCTGAACTCGATCAAGCTAATAAATGTCTTTCTTTCTCTTTTGACATTGAATACTAATATAAACACCACATTGCAGCTATTCCTAATGAAGCGAGGAGGACGAGATATATGTTGGTCCGTTGGGTCGCCATTCTTGCCATTTGATCAAATACTTTGAGATAAGTTGTCTAAGTGAACAAGTGCTTTCCGTTTTTGAGCTTTATATAATCAAATGCTACACTAAGTTTTCTTGTATTCAGTCAATGCCTGGGGTAAGTAAAATAAAAGATGGCTATAATCCAGCAACTTGGATGTTAGAAGTCACAGCCTTGGCTCAGGAATGATATTAGGGGTTGAATTTGCTGATTTATACAAGAAATCGGACCTTTACAGAAGGAACAAAGCGTTGATAAACGAACTAAGTATCCCTCGCCCTGGTTCCAAAGACTTGCATTTTGATAGCCAATACTCACAGCCATTCTGGACCCAATGTATGGCCTGCCTTTGGAAGCAACACTGGTCCTACTGGCGTAATCCTGCTTATACTGCAGTCAGATTTCTTTTTACAACCTTCATTGCTCTGATCTTCGGGTCAATGTTCTGGGATCTTGGTACTAAAGTGTAAGTCCAAACATATGCCATAAAACAGGTATATAAAAAAGGGCAGCCCGGTGCACTAAGCTCCCGCTATGTGCGGGGTCCGAGAAAGAGCCGGACCACAAGGGTGTATTGTACGTAGCCTTACCTTGCATTTCTGCAAGAGGCTGTTTCCACGACTTGAACCCGTGACCTCCTGGTCACATGGCAGCAACTTTACCAGTTACGCCAAGGCTCCCCTTTCCATAAAACAAGTATATAATCTGGAAATTACTTTTAGTTCTTAACGCTAGAAGTCTACTCATATTTTCTGGTTACAGGGGTAAGAGGCCTATTGTAGCAGTTGAGCGTACAGTATTTTACAGGGAAAGAGCTACTGGGATGTATTCTGCCATACTCTATGCCTTTGGACAGGTCAGCGTACGGTTCAACTTCTTATAAACCAATTTCATGTTAAAAGAAGTCTACATTACCTATAAAAGTTTTTCTATCTTGTAGGTTTTCATTGAAATCCCTTATGTCTTTGCACAAACTGTTTCCTATAGTGTCATTGTGTATGCTATGGTTGGATTTGAATGGACAGCGGCCAAGTTCTTTTGGTACTTGTTCGTCATGTATTTCACCCTATTGTACTACACCTTCTATGGTATGATGACCATTGCTGTTACCCCAAATCAAAATGTTGGTCAAATCGCCGCCTTTTTATTCCATGTCATATGGAATCTTTTCTCAGGATTCATCATTCCAAGACCTGTAAGTTCTTGAAAAACCTTCATTTTTGCTCTCAAGAACACTGAAAATTTTGATTTAGAGCTTTGAAAATGAAATGCTTCCGTTGTTTTTCTTCATTAAAAAACAGCGTATGCCCATATGGTGGAGATGGTACTATTGGGCTAATCCTGTTGCGTGGACTTTGTATGGTTTGGTTGTATCACAATTCGGGGACCTCCAAAATAAACTTAGTGATGATCAAACAGTGGAACAATTCTTGAGAAGTTACTTCGGGTTCAAGCATGATTTTCTTGGAGTAGTTGCAGGTATGACTGTTGCATATGCTGCTGTTTTTGCCTTCACATTTGCTTTTGGTATTAAGGCATTCAATTTCCAGAAAAGATAGAAGAGGTTACCTGCTGAAGATTTAAGAGTAAGATTGGAGAAGAGTTGATTATGAAACTACTAGCTAGTATATATAGGCCATAACATGAAGAAGTATATGTTCTGTTTATTTTTTCTTGAATCCCAAGTTTTTGTGTAAGAGCTAATAAGTTATAAGTGTTGAATGAAAATATAGTGGCAAATTTGTTCCATATATAGTTGGCTTGACCCTTTACCTTGCCATCTTCTTACTATATCTTATTTATTTACTGAAATTTGAGCACTTTGCCCCTTTTCCACACTAAATTCATCACAATTTGGAGATCTACTGGTGTGGCTAGCAGATATCTTGTGGAATTAGTCGAGGTGCGCACAAACTGGCCCAGACACCACGATTATATAAAAAAAAGTGGCTAGGTTTGAAACGTTGTCACCACCGCTCGTGAAATGGAGAAGAAACGGTCAGTATAAGGAATTTTTTTCGAGCTCAAGTACTGGCGAGAGATTGGTTGTAAAAGTCTTGTATATAGGTTGTAGCTTGAACAACTGTTTACTTTCTCCATTCAAATAATATTTGGTGTTTCATTTTGTTAACTTTTAGTAAAACATTGAATAAAAATAGTAATTTGCATCATAGCAAGGTTGAATACAACAATTAGAAAAAAACATGGTATTATATAGTTTATCTCCATAGTATAGACCATGTAATATTTTCTGACTTAGGCCATTAGCTTCACTAACTCTATTTACACCCTTGCCCTCTATTCCTTTCTTAGGCTTAGGGACTGAGTTAGGTGTCCACAAGGGAGTTCAATTGAATCCTTTTCGCCGAGAATTATAATGCACAATATAGAAAAAATAATTTTTTTTATTAGCTCAGTGGTAGAGCGCGCTCCTGATAATTGTGTCGTTTTGCCTGGGCTGTGAGAGCTCTCAGCCACATGGAGAGTTCAATGTGCTCATCGACGCCTGACCCTGAGAAGTGGATCATCCAAGGCACATTAGCATGGCGTACTCCTCCTGTTCGAACCGGGGTTTGAAACCAAACTCCTCCTCAGGAGAATAGATGGGGCGATTCGAGTGAGATCCAATAGATAAAATAGTTGAATTCCTTTGAAATAAGGAAGATTGTAGTGTAGTGGCAAATGTTGATTGAGGTCACAGTCTCAAATCATAGATGTGACATTCTCATATTTTTTAATAATAAAAAAATCTCCTATTAAGTATTACGGGCTCTACTTAGGCTTTTTTTTTTTTTTTAGTGGTACAGTCATATTGTGAAAATCTTAAATCCGTCTCTGACTTAGGCTAAACTATAGGTTGTATCATAAGAAAAAAAGAAAGCAATTAATCAACTCATTTAATTCCACTCATATATTCCTTTTCTTTTATTTCCCCCCCTTTTTTTTGTACGGGGCAAATATAAAAAGAAAGGATGCAGAGAAACCCCAATACTTATCAATCTTCCTGACATTTCATGTTTCACTTCACTAAAAAGGAATGACAAAAAATTCAAACTCAAACATAGTAAAGTCCAATGTTTAGGCATTTCCTAGGCACCACCTAATTTTTTAGTGTTTTTGGAATGGAGTATTCCATTGGACATACTTTCCTCCACATGAGTTGTTTTTTTTTTTTTTTTTTTTTTTTTTTTGGATATTATCACTTTTAATCCGTGTCAGAAACTATTTATATTTGATAGTCAAAAAAGTATATAAAACTTGTATAATTTTTGTATATAACATACATAATGTATATATATACAAAAAAATATACAAATTTTATACATTTTTTCAGCTATTACTTTTACGGCGATTATACCGTGTCATTTTCCATTGTTTTTCTGGTATATCCAAGCCCATCCTTACAACTTGCATGTACATATGCGCACACACACATAGTTGTAAGGTTTTCTCTTAATTTATTCAAATTTCTGGAGAAAGATTTATAAGTATATGAGAGTGAAAAAAAAAATTGTTTGTGTTAATTAAGACTTGGATACATTTTTTAAATGAAATCTATGTATTACGATAAATCATACTTTCTCCTATTCAATTTATTTAACGCATTTACTTTTTAAGTTGTTTAAAAAACAATACATTTTTTAAATTCGAACGCAATTTAACTTACAGAAGTAACCATTAATGACAAGCTTTCACATTGTACTCAACATTCACTAATTGCATTCAAAGACCATACAAATGGCAGGAGCCAAAACTCTAGCCACACAAATATTATGACATAATATTACAAATTTCAAAAGTTTTATGGTTATATAAATATTATGGTATATCTAAGATCATTTAGTTTTAAAAATCTTTCTTTCTTTTAACTTCGTATCTAGTTAATAGTATCACATAAAATAAAACGATGAAGTATCATTTTATGGCCCTAGTACGAAAACAATTGCTTCACTTCTCAAATAATAAAATAACTACGTAAATTGAAATAAAATAAGTATATTTTTTTTGCCTGGTATATTAATAAGTTTGGATAACTGGCAATTATATCATCTATGAAAGTATATATGAATTTCCTCTATCTCTTACTCTTTTATTTATTACTCCCTTTGTCCTTCTAATGCAACTATTTAGTTTGTCGATAGAAGAATAATATGTTTTTATATTTAAAAATAATTTATAACTATATAAATATTATAATATTTTTAATAACCTTATTCTCCGTCAAATATTGCCACGTAAATTTTGACGGAGGGGATAATTTTTTTTTTTTTTGGTCTTTCGAGAAATATATTGATAGGGTATTGTCACTTTTAGCCCGCTCTAAAAATTATTTATATTTGGTAATCGAAAAAATATATAAATAAACGTACAGAATGTATACATACATAAAAAAATATATAAATTTTATATATTTTTTGATTATTATTTTTACGGCGGCTATACAAACTAAGATTGTGGGTCCAATAAAGTAGTATATTGTAACATACTACCAAATACTTAACCGCTAAGACAAAGAAAACAAATGTGTAGTAGTTTTCGTTTACAGTTCTGCTTTGCTATATAGAAAGTTCTCAAGTTGAGAAACTTTATACAATTTTTCTATGGATTATTTTGGGTTGTTACCAGAAGGTTGTGTATCTGATATTATCTCCTTCACTTCGCCAAAAGATGCAGCTATTTCTTCTGCTATTTCAAGAGGATTTAAGTCTGCTTCTGAATCAGACACAATTTGGGAAAAGTTTTTGCCGTCTGATTATCAACATATTATCTCTAAATCTGACTCTCAACTGGTTTTCTCCTCTAAAAAGGAACTTTATTTCAGTCTCTGTGATTCCCCTGTTCTTGTTGATGGAGGCAAACTGGTATGTTCTGTTTTCTTTACCCTTTTTAAATTTTTCATTTTAGCTGTAAACGAGAAAAGAAGGTTTTTTTTTTTTTTAACTTATAGTTACCACTTGTGAGATTATTATTGTTATTGTTTCTGTTTGTGGAGCAAAATTGTCCTTTTGTATGGATTAAGGGCTAGTGAGTCCGGAGTTTGAACAAAACAATTTGGGACCCCAAACGAATTATGGCAACTAGTCAAATTGAAATATACAAAATTAAATAGTCAATATTTTTTTGAATAGACGAAAAAGTAGAGAGTGCCAATATAAAATGGGATATTACTTTTATGAAATACTTAGAATTTTCAACTAATTGTCAATGTAGAAAGGCGTTATGGGTGATTGGCTAGCCGTAGTTATGAGCTACTATAAAATACAAAATTGGTCGGTCGTAGTTATGAGCTACTATAAAATACAAAATTGGTCGGTCAGTTTAAACTAATTATATTCGCTAATCAAAAAATATATATTTTTTGTATATTACACACATCTATACATGAAATATATATATATTGTCATTATTATTTTTGGGATCAAAATATATATTTCTCTTTTTGTTTTCTCCCCTCTGATGTGCTCTGTATTTGTGGTTTGATCTTTTTTTTCTTTCAAAACAGAGCTTTTCACTTGATAAAAAAACAGGGAAAAAATGTTTTATGTTGGCAGCAAGGGAACTTGCTATTTCTTGGGGAGTTGATACACCATGGTATTGGGAATGGATATCTCACTCTGAATCCAGGTTTTAATATTTTTCTCTGTTCATTTTCATGAATTTATTGGTCTATTTTAGAAGAATTTGCTAATTACATACAGAATATTAAGACAAGTACATTTTACTTTGTAGATTTTCAGAAGTGGCTCATCTCAAGGGTGTAAGTTGGTTAGATATCCGAGGCAAGATTGAAACTCAAATACTGTCAAAAAGAACAAAATATGTTGCTTATTTAGTGTTCAAATTGGTAGAAGGACATGAGGGACTAGAAATTGCTAATGCATATGTTAGATTTGTGAATCGCGATAGCAAGAAGGAAGCTGAGGAACGAGCTAGCGTTGTGAGTCTAGTTGAACAAAAAGTTAAGAGAGGTATTAAACGTAATGTGAAACGTCCACGAAAAAGAGTTGATGGATGGATGGAAATAGAAATGGGAATTTTTTTCAATGAAACTGGAGAGGAGGGAGATGTTGAAGCGCGATTAATGGAGATTACGCGACTTCATGGGAAAGGTGGCCTCATTGTTCAAGGAATGGAGTTTCGACCAGAATGAAGAAGAGAAGAAACATATACTCAGTTATGTATTCTTGATATATAAATAGTGAGATATTTTATGGCTATATATGGGCTAACTTTACTTCAAGATGGAAGAAATGATTCAACAAGTTTTTTCCTTGGTCTGTACAGTGAATAAAATGGCTTACGTTTACCTCTAAATGTAGGAAAAATGAAGATTCGGCAATGGAAACTCATGTTAGATATAAACTACATTATCTAAACATAGCACATAGTTTATATCTAAAAGATAAAACGAATGAGATGGTTTGGTTATGTTTTACGTTAAACTTTCAGATGCATTGGTTTATAGGTGTGAAGATTATGGTGAGTGACGGTGTTAAGGAAAATAAGGTAGACATAAAATAATATGAAAGAAAGTTATCTCGAAAAATTTACAATAATCTCTTGGAATTGAGATAGCTTAAACTAGGGCACAACAGAAAAAATAAGTTACCAACAAGGGTTGGAGTGGTAAGTACTCCTTCATTCTTAACCAGAGATCTCAAATTCGAGTCCTTGGGTATAGAATCGCCTTTGAACTATCCAACTACGCATTGAACACACATGCTTAAAATCTAAGCAAATATTGAAACACATATACGTGTCTATATATATAAATGTTGGAACAAAAAAAAACCTTTGGTTCTATTCTTTACGGGCTTCAAAGTTTTGTGACTTGAACTTTTCAAAGTTTATTGCTCCAATGAATTATTTTCAAAGATTGCCAGAAGGCTGCATATTGAAAATTCTTTCACATACAACTCCAGTAGATGCAGTAAGATCATGCATTCTATCAAGAGGATTCAAGTCTGCTTTAGAATCAGAAGTTATTTGAGAAAGATTTTTGCCCTCTGATTATCAAGAAATAATTGAAAGATCAGAGTTTCCTCCTGTTTGCACCACCAAAAAAGAGCTTTATTTTAATATGTGTGAATGTCCCATTCTTCTTGATGGAGGCAAACTGGTAAAAACCTATTTTGAAGTGGTTATCTTTTATGTTTGCATTGCTTTGTTTGTTTATTTATTTTTGTTTTTTTTTTTCTTTTCCTGAGTCGAGAGTCTATCGAAAATAAGGTATGCGTATACCCAACCCTTCCCAGACCCCACTTGTGGGATCACACTGAGCATGTTCTGGTTGTTGTAATAATGGTGGTGTCGGGTCCACTTCTGTGACTTGACTATTTTACCATATCTACTATCTCCTACCAGCATAAATCGTGCAACTCTTATGCTACCAAGATTTAGGCAAATGAAAAAAAAATCAAAGCGTTTTTTTCTCTGGCGAGAATTTGAACCCTAATCTCTCACGATTTTCACCTAAATTCCATAGGTTCACACCTTTTGGTGCCCATTTTTTTGGTGCTTCTGTATATTTTTTTGGAGAGGGGTCATACTGAATAACATTCTTTTTAATTAAGTACAGAGTAGAGTTACTAGCTAAGCGTTAGTTTACTCAACCAAAAAATTACTATCATTGTTCCTTCTTTTTATAGGTAATAATGCAACTTAAGACGTACTCCCTCTGTTCCACAAAACGAGATTGTTCTTTGATCATATTTTTAACTTATTATAATTTATAGTACTTTTTATGTAGTTTTCAAATATGTATTTAAAAAACTTGAAGAATCTATATCTAATTTGACAGTTCAAAATTAAGGACTTTGACCTTGTACTCAAGTGAAACGGAGGGAGTACTATATATATATATATATATATATATTAAATTTGAGATGGAAGGAGTAATATTCTTCTTTTTGTCCTTTTTTTTTCTCTAGTTAAGTGCCAAACCCTGATTCTTGTGTAAATGCATCTCTAATTCAAACTCTTTTTCAGAGTTTTTCACTTGATAAGCATAGTGGGAAGAAGTGTTTCATGGTAGCACCAAGAGAGCTTATAATTTCGTGGGGCGATAACTTAAACTATTGGCAATGGAAGCCTCATTCGGACTCTAGGTTTGTTCTTTTTTTATTTTCATCGCTTGCTCGTCTATGGTTTTGTTCCACCCTTCCACCTTCCAACTCCTGCTAAGATTATTTAGTTATTTTTCTATCGAAAAAGGATAAAAAATACTCCCCGATTATAAGAAATAGTTTAATTTTACCCTTCGTTATATTTTGAGATCACTATGTATGCCCTTGTCCTTGACCATAAACGAGCTCAACCTGCCCTGAAATGTAATATAGGGTAATTTTGAACCACAGTCAAAAGGTGAATATGAACATTTGAACTTTTTTCCTGGATTATTTTGGCACGTGGAATAGACACAGTCCACATTGGAGTTCCATTAAAAGCAAGGGGTATATATGAGATAATTTGTCAAAAAAGAGTATGAATGATCTCAAAATATAATAAGATATTTCGTACACTAAACAAATGAATTTGGACCTTTTCCTTTTTTATGTATAAGAAGATAACAAATGATTAATAACAACAATAACAAACTCAGTGGAATCTCACAAGTGGGGTCTAAGGAGAGTAGTGTGTACGTAGACCTTACCCCGACCTTAAAAAGATAAAGAAGCAATAGAATGGAAGCAATAAACAATTGCAACCATTGTACCATGAATTGAATTGAAGCAATAGAATGGAAGCAATAAACAATAGCAACCACAATTTTAAGTGTGGGGTGCGGAGATTGTCTAGGTGACTTTCTATGCTATTTTAATTATGTTAGTTTAATTGAATTTTTTTTTTTTAGAGAGCAGAAATAGAAAAGATTGGACTTTTCCCGACGATGGATCTATTAGACAATTTTCTTGAGGGATTTAAGTCGAAAGAAAAAATACAAAAAGATTTTCTTTTGTTAGGTAGTGTAGCAATTCCCCCTTGATTTTTCTTTGTACCGCGGTTCTTTTCTAAGGGTTTTGTTTGAACCGGGTATAGTTAGTTTTATTTTGTTTAGGAATAGGAACCATTGTACCATGAATTGAATTGAAGCAATATCTCTTAGCTTTGTTATGCCTTGAGAATAGTTAGTACTATGGTTGTGACACTTAGGCTCGATTTTTGACTCTTGCATAAGTACCTTAAATCATAGATTCCTAATTTTGCTTAACTGCTTTGACTGGAGTATCGCGATGAAACCAATCCTGAGTGAGTTATGTGCCATGTGTGTGTGAGTTTTGTATGTATTATGTGCATTGCATTTGATGTCTAAAACTTGTCCCGTGTGTTTGCAAAGCGAAATAGTAGTATTGTTCAGTCTAGGAAGTGATATAGGCGTTTCTTTGTTAAGCCAGATATATAAAGTTTACCCACCTAAATGTTATGTACCGTAGTTAACCCCGTTGAGCCTATAATCTTATTTCTTTGGTAACCACATTACAAGTCGTACCCCTTTGTTTTAATAGACCATATATTTGAACCTTTTCACCTCTAATGAGTACTTGAATGGTTATGAACTTTGTAAAAGTTAAAGTGTGGGGTGGTTGGTTCGGCTTTCGCATGGAACTAATGAAATAAGGAGAAAGGTGCATTGTTTTGAAAAAGTAAGAGCCACTTGAATTATCAACTAACATGGATGAAATTATAGACAAGACTAAGGAGGTCGAGAGTTATGATTTACCCAATTGTCGGAATCCTTTTCGCTACGTTTCCTATAAATTTGTCTAAGTCTTCTCTGCCGATCATGAGCACTCTAAATGTCGTAACTCTCTCTCGAATAATTACCACAATTTACTAGACATATTCTCCCGAATTACGCTAGCTGGCATTAAGTACAACTCACTCAGATCGCACCAAGATTTCGTTATCCCTAATCCCACCTTTAAACCTCCGTATTGATCCCTCATATACGTTTAGGAGTGATGTTGTTCAACAACTACCTAAATATGCACTCTCTCCCGAGTAATACATACTAAATAGGCACAGATAATTGAGGGTCCTTCAATCAACCACAAGAATAATATAGTTGAACAAATAGAGAAAATACTACAGCAAATCTATATTAACGTAACAAGAAAATCATCCTCCAATATGTTCTATCAAAACCCTAGATAACAAATTAGCTATTCATAATCATAGTAACAATATCCCAAATATTTTGCAAAATTAAAATACAGAGTAAAGATAAAAAGATGTAGAAATTGATGATTCTCACTCCCAATGGGTGATTCCACTAGCTCTTCTTGCCTCTAACTGCCCAAGTCCCTTCTTGGCTGCTGAAAAAGCGTTCTCTCCAAGTGGTGTTTTAGGTCTATTTATATGTGTAGAAGAAATCCTAAATGTGTGGGCCGAGTTCTAGTCAAATCCGAAACGAATTAAGTCTTCAAAACTCGGATTGGACCTGGCCTCAGGCCTGGCATCGCCAGCCTAACGCCTGAAATTTGGCTGGCCTCGCCAGGCTAAAGCCTGGTCCAGCCTGGCCTTAGGCTGGCCTCGCCAGGTCTCTCCTTTTCACTGTTCTCGAGCACACTTTCAACGTTTAAGTATCTATTTTGCTCTACTTTCATCTCCAATTCACCTACACATAAAATAGACTCCATTATGCACAAATAAAGTGTAATTTATCATTAAAGCATGTAAAATGCAAGGCACATAATGTACGAAACTATGGAATTATAGCCACACATCAATACCCCACACTTAAACATTGCTCGTCCTCGAGCAATCAAACTACACTTATAGATACGACCTTTTTAAGCAATTCTCCTAACTCATTGCACCAAGAATTTTTAAAATAGTTTAAGCACACAAGTGTGACATCCTCGCCTTAAGATTCGACTCACAAATACCATGCCTTATTCACAATTCACTTACTTACTCTGACATGGATGTCAACAACATTACCTTTCCTTTATGAATCACGTGCCCTCAGACAACAAAATAGATTAGTTCCACACACAATAAATTTTAAGACCGTAAGAACTCAAGATAGGAAGAATTCACTCGCTCTCAGAAATAACATTCACATGCTACAAAAGATGCAACATAGGCTTGCCCGTAGTGTAATACGCTACTAATTGAGTTCATTCAGTCTAAGATCAAGTAGGTCTTTCATTGGTTGTAATGTAGGCTGTGGGTCGGGTAGGATACATTTGGATATGAGTGACTACACCTCCCTTAAGCACTTTAATATGTATATTTTAACACACATCCCATACTTATGTCAAACCATTACTCCACCTTCACCTCAATATATATTAACTCCATATTTTTTTAAGCACAATTACATCAAGAGTCACCACTATCAAGGGATATTTTTCACAGCAATACAACTAATTTTTCTTTTCTTTCTTTTTCAATTCCGATGTCGTTTAGGAGATTTTTTTTGTCTTCTGATTATCAACCTATTATCAATAGATCAGAATCTTTCTTGGTATATTCTTCTAAGAAAGAACTGTACTTTAGTCTCGCAACTCACCAATTCTCCTTGATGGAGGCAAACTGGTATTCTTTTCTTTATAGTCTTTGATTTATTACTTTGTTCTTTGAAAACAAGTTGATAGGACCCCTTTTTTACATCCCCGTGTTCCCGTGTGGAGACATGGGGAGAAAAAAGTAAAGAGAGGGTGGGGTTTCTCTCGCTGCATAGCAGGGCGACGGGTTATTAGCTCAGCAATAAAGCGGCTTACCCCTTATAATTTTGTGGTTGTGCTTGGGCTGCGAGGGCTCCCAGCCACATAGATAATTCAATATGCTTATCGGTGCCTGACCCTGAGAAAAAGATAAATTTTTGTTTTGATTACTTATTTTTAGTTAGTGAAGATATAAATGATTTTTAACTTAATTGTGTAATTAAATGGACCACCACTTTATTACCATAATATCTAAGGACCAAAAGTGCAATTTATGCTTTTTAATTCTCTTCATTTTAATCATGAATGTGGTGGGGCTCATATTAAAGAAAAACAAAAAAAAATGAAGAAAAATGGGATGAGAGGTGCCTAACTTTGTTAACAACTTTGTTGAAGAAAAAATGGGATAGGTGCCTAACTTTGTTAATAACTTTGTTGAAGAAAAAATGGGATAGGTGCCTAACTTTGTTGATATCTTTGTTGAAGAAAATGGGAGGTACCTAACTTTGTTTATAACTTTGTTGAAGAAAATGAGAGGTGCCTAACTTTGTTTACAACTTTGTAGAACTAAATCAATAACAAGTCATCTTCTTTGTAGTAGTTGGATGGTATCTCTTACTATAAATAGAGGCTTACATTCTTCATTTCAATCACACCAAAATAAGAGAGAAGCAATAGAAGTTAGAGTGAGTAATCCACAGATTGTAGACTGTGAGTGTGAGTAATATTGTAGTGAAGTATTTTAAATAAAGAGTATTATTTCTTTCAAGATTGTAGTAGTTTCTTGACACTACTAAGTTGTAATATTATAATGATTGTATTGCTTCGCTCGGGTATTGTATTAAAAGAGTTGGTGTCGTTGTTACTCTCTTGTATTATTATTATTTGTTGTGGATATTATTCCTGGGCGGGATTATTATTTTTTCCAACAACGTGGTATCAGAGCCATGGCAAATAATGGTACGCTGTCTTTTCAGTACCCCCGTCTCACAAAAGATAATTATGAGAAATGGTGTCTACGTATGAAAGCCATTCTTGGTTCTCAGGATGTGTGGGAAATCGTAGATAGAGGGTATGCAAAACCCGATAATGAGGAAGCTCTGCCTAAAAATAAAAAAGATATCTTGGCAAAGACAAAGGAAGAAGGATCAACAAGCCCTCACGCTCATCCATCAATGTGTGGATGATGCCATGTTCGAGAAGGTGGCAGATGTTACCACCTCAAAGGAAGCTTGGGAGAGTTTACAAAATTCTCTTCAAGGATTTGACAAGGTGAGGAAGGTAAAACTTCAAACTCTAAAGGCTGATTTTGAAGTTTTAAAAATGAAAGAATCCGAATGCATTTCGGATTATTGTTCAAAAGTGAAGGCTGTTGTAAATCAATTAAGAAGATATGGAGAGGACATAAAAGATGTCAGTGTGGTAGAAAAGATCTTTCGCATTTTAACACCTAAATTTGATTTTGTGGTGTGTGCTATTGAGGAGTCTAAAGATTTAGACTCTATGATGGTAGAGCAATTGGAGGGTTCTTTACAGGCTCATGAAGAAAAGATCAAGAGGAGACAAGAAGTTCCATTAGAGCAACTTCTTAAAACTCAGGCATCCTTCAAAGATTATGGAGATGAAAAGAGCTATTGAGGGAATGAACGGGGACGAGGTCGTGGCAGACATGGAAAAGGAAGAAGCAACGCTAACAACTTTAACAATGAAGTTAAAATCCACCAGACATTCAGAGGTCGTGGTCGTGGACATAGAGGAGGAAGAGGACGTGGCTACTACCAACAAAATAATGGTCAAAGGTATGACAAATCCAAAATTGAGTGTTATAATTGTCATAAATTTGGCCATTACTCTTGGGAATGTCATAGCAATGTTGAAGAAAAAACTAACCTTGTTGACGACAAGAAATAAGAAGTTGAGTCAACGTTGTTGATGGCACTCAAGGAAGAAGACATGGATGATTGCAGCTCGTGGTATTTGGACAATGGAGCAAGCAATCATAAGTGTGAATACAAAGAAAAGTTTGTGGAGATCAATAAAACGGTGAGAGGTAATGTATCCTTTGGAGATACCTCAAAGATTCAAATTGAAGGGATATGTACGATTCTGATCTCCTGTAAAGATGGTAGTCACAAGTTAATTCAAGCTGTTTATTATGTCCCAAAATTAAAAAGTAATATTTTGAGTTTGGGCCAACTTCTTGAAAAGGAATATGACATCCACATGAAAAATATGCATCTTTATCTTAGAGATTCAAGTGGAATTCTAATTGCTAAAGTACATATAACTAAAAATAGATTATTCTCTCTGAATCTTAAGACAATTGATGCAAAGTGTTTGAAGGCTAATGTGCAAGATAAATCATGGTGTTGTCACATGCAATTTGGGTACTTAAATTTTGAAGCACTCAAATCAATGGGAGAAAAGAACATGGTGCATGGGATACCATCAATAAGTCATCCCAATCAATTGTGTGAAGCTTGTCTTCTTGGAAAACATGCATGGAGGAGTTTTCTAAAGGAGGCCATGTCAAAATCAACTAAGCCGCTTCAGCTTGTTCACACTGATGTGTGTGGACCAATCAATCTACCTTCCTTTGGTAAAAGTAAATACTTTCTACTTTTCATTGATGAGAGGTTGTGAGTTCGAGTCACCCCAAATGCAAGGTGGGGAGTTCTTGGAGGGAGAGAGCCGAGGGTCTATCGAAAACAGCCTCTCTACCCAGGGGTAGGGGTAAGGTCTGCGTACAAACTACCCTCCCTAGACCCCACTAGCGGGATTATACTGGGTTGTTGTTGTTGTTGTTGTACTTTAGTATAAAGACTTGGGTTTATTTCTTGAACCAAAAATCTGAAGCTTTTGCTACTTTTAAAATTTTTATAGTATTTGTAGAAAAATAAAGTGGCTATGAAATAAAAGTTTTAAGGTCCGATAGAGGAGGCGAATTCACTTCAAAAGAATTTTATGACTTTTGTAAATCTCATAGAATCTAACGGTACCTTATTCACCCCCAACAAAATGGAGTTGCAGAGAGAAAGAATTGAACGATTCTTAATATGGCTAGATGTATATTAAAAGCTAAAAATATGCCCAAGGAATTTTGGGCAAAAGTTGTATCTTGTGCAGTTTATTTGAACAACATGTCTCCAACAAAGAATGTTAGAGATCAAACCCCTCAAGAAGCATGGAGTGGAAGAAAGCCAAGTGTCAAGTACTTGATAATCTTTGGGAGCATAGCCTATGCTCATGTGCCACATCAAGGGAGAGCGAAGCTTGACGATCGACGTGTCAAGTATGTGTTTGTTGGCTATGATACGAGTTCAAAAGGCTACAAGCTATACAACCCAAGTAGCGGCAAGATGGTGGTAAGTCGCGATGTTGAATTTGATGAAGAATTGGCATGAAACTGGGAAGCTCAGGAAGAAACTTCATATGATTTTCTTCCATACTTTGATGATGAAGAAGAACCAGAGATCGTAGAACCTGTGCAGGATACAACTCCACCTCCTTCTCCAACAAATGTTGCATCTCCCTCTTTTCAAGAATGTTCAAATGAACAACCACAAAGGACAAGGAGTATTCAAGAGCTCTATGAGGACACAGAGGAAGTTAATAATTTAGATTTTTTATATTGTCTCTTTGCTGATAATGAACCAATGAACTTTGATGAAGTTGTTGAAGACAAAAGGTGGAGACAAGCGATGCAGGAGGAGATCGAGTCAATAGAGAAGAACAAAACTTGGGAGTTAACAACACTTCCCAAGAGTCATCGAGCAATTGGAATTAAATGGGTATACAAGGCAAAGAAGAATATTGATGAAGATGTGGAGAGATACAAGGCACGACTTGTGGCTAAAGGCTACAAGCAAAGACAAGGCATTGACTATGAAGAAGTCTATGCACATGTTGCCCGCATGGAGACGATTCGTTTGCTTATCTATGCACTTGATAAGCCGCTTCATGGAAGCTCCTACCTCCACTCACTTGAAGGTCACTAGAATAATTCTTCATTACCTAAAAGGCACTCGCCAAGAATCCGGTGTATCATGATCGAAGCAAGCATATAGATACAAGATATCACTTCATCAGAGAGTGCATTGCCAAGAAGGAAGTCAAGCTCAAATATGTGAAGTCTCATGATCAGGCTGCAGATATCTTTACAAAGCCTATTAAGTTTGAGAATTTTCAGAGATTGAGATCAAGTCTTGGAATGAAAAAGAAAAATCAAAATTAAGGGAGAGATTTGTGGGGTACATATTAAAGAAAAACAAAAAAAGAAATAAAGAAAAATGGGATGAGAGGTGCCTAACTTTGTTGACAACTTTGTTGAAGAAAAAATGGGATAGGTGCCTAACTTTGTTGATAACTTTGTTGAAGAAAATGGGAGGTGCCTAACTTTGTTGACAACTTTGTTGAAGAAAAAATGGGATAGGTGCCTAACTTTGTTGATAACTTTGTTGAAGAAAATGGGAGGTGCCTAACTTTGTTGACAATTTTGTTGAAGAAAATGGGAGGTGCCTAACTTTGTTGAAAAATTATAGAACTAAATCAACAACAAGTCATCTTCTTTGTAGTAGTTGGATGGCATCTCTTACTATAAATAGAGACTTCCATTTTTCATTTCAATCATACCAAAATAAGAGAGAAGCAATAGAAGTTAGAGAGAGTAATCTACAGATTGTAGTCTGTAAGATAAATAACGAGTGTGAGTAATATTGTAGTGAAGTGTTTTAAATAAAGAGTGTTATTTCTTTCAAGATTGTAGTAGTCTCTTGACACTACTAAGTTGTAATATTATAGTGATTATATTGCTCCGCTCGAGTATTGTATTTTACCCATTAAAAGAGTTGGTGTCGTTGTTACTCTCTTGTGTTATTAGTATTTATCGTGGATATTATTCCTGGGCGGGATTATTATTTTTCCCATCAAATGTTACTCCATCTGTCCTATTTTATATGACGGTTTTTGACAAATTTCAATAATTAATTTGACTTATGTATTGTATTGGTGATAGTGGAAAAATTATTGAAGGAATATCAAAATGTTGAGTTCTAGAATTCATCCCATTAAAGTTTAATATTTGAATAATCAAATTATTTGAATTCTTGAAAGTTATGAAAATTGTACTGAAAATAGAATGGCGTGAAAAACATGTTTTTTTTTTCACTGATGTATTTTGTATATGTGATTTCATCTTTTGAATAGAGCTTTACACTTGATAAGAAGACCGGGAAGAAATGTATTATGGTGGCACCAAAGGAAATTTCTTTTTCATGGGAGTATACACCACAATATTGGGGACTCTCATATTACCCAGAATCCAGGTTTTCTATTTTCTCTGTTGAAGAATTTACTTTTTGATGTCCCGAGTTCAATTCTCGGAATGCCCCCTAATTCTTTGGTGTATCGGAAACAATCTCTCTACTTCACACAAGATAGGGGTAAGGTCTGCGTATACCTCAACGAGGGACGAAGCTACATGTCTTAAAATTAACCACCTTCGTCGAAAAATTACAGGTTTTAGAGATATATAACATATACAGACCACCCTTTTGTGAGGAAGTTTTTCATTTCTTTCAAATTTGAACATCCTTGGGTAAATTTTTTGCTTCGCCACTTACCCCACCCTCCCTGGACCCCACTTGTGGAATCACACTAGGTATGTTATTGTTATTGTTTGTTATGAATTTATTTTTTAGAAGGAATAGTTAATTAGATAGACAAGAAAGGACACTTTAAGACAGAATAGCACCACTTGCTTCTCAAGAAAATGGATTTGCAACCATGAACAGAAATAAAATTCTGTAACACTCCATGTTAAGCATTGCATATGTAGAAATAAAATGCTATTATTTTATATAGGTAAATCCAAGATTTAACCATCGCGGGTTTAATCTTTAACGTTCTTAGTAGTAAACTCATTGTACTTTTGAAATTATGAGTTCAAACTTTAATATTTGCTAAATTTTAATAGCTTTTTACGTATATGTTCTGTGTCGAAAATATTGAGTTCAACTGAACGTATTGCTCAAAAGCTCCAGTTGCCTATATCTATCAGTATCGGTTGCGAAAGCAGAATGACCATAAGAATATCTTTGCAGAAGATCAGAAAATTCATGGAAATTTTGCAGATTCTCATTAACAATCCACATATGAATTTTCTTAACTTGCAAATGAACCACATATGAATATACAAATATTGAGAAAAGTAAATTTTTGCTGATTCTCATTAACAATCTGTCAATCCATACATTCTTAACTTGCAAATGAACCACATATGAATATACAAATATTGAGAAAACTTGCAAATGAACCACATCAATGAGGGATGACAGCATTATTATCTGAATTATACCAGTTCCTGATATTATCTGAATTGCAGATTCTCAGAAATGGCTTATTTCCGGGGCTTTCGTTGGCTTGATATCCGTGGCAAGATTGCAAGTCAAATGTTGTCAAAGAGAACAACATATGTCGTGTATCTGGTGTTCAACTTAGCTCCAGATGCATTTGACGGTCTTGAAATTGGTAAGTCAGTTGTTAGATTTGTCAATTGTGAGAGTGACAATGAGGCTGGGGAACGACGAACAGTCAGGAGAATTGGTTTAGTTAAAGCTCAGAGAAGAGTTGATGAATGGATGGAAATAGAAATGGGGAAATTCTATGACAGCATTATCTGAAATTATACCAGTTAAACATAATTCGCACTTTCTGAGAAGAAAATCAAGTTGCAGACAGGATGACTAAGCATGAAAGTGAAAACCAAGGGGAAATTCTGCTTTATGTATCACCCCCTACTTTTGTAATGCATATTTTAGATAATGATTCCTTAAAGCTAAGTTCCTGAGGATATCACTATGTAACAAAACTAACATATATGTCCTGTTATCCAAATAATAAAAAATGGATGTTCTCCTTTTTACCTCTTTTTTTTTTTTTTTT